GCTGCAACTTGGGGTCTCTGTACACCAAAATGGCTATCGAGGTGGGAAGAATTTGGTTGTAGAGTGGCATATTTTTAGTTATTGCACCAGTCAATACATTCTGCATATCAGCGGCCTCAGCGCCTAAGAAACAGACTCGACCGCCCAGTCGGGTGCACAAGGCTTTTTCGCAGATCAGATAACCCTAAAAATATACCCAACAGCCTTCCTAAGCATGGAGTGTCTGGCTGTGCTCGCACTTTAAAGTCTATCCTGAATATGTGGCCTCGGAATCAGAGGAGTAAAGGGCACATTTTCTTACAGCATTTTTGGCGGTACTGACATTCAGTTTTACATCCACCGTAAGGAAATCTGAACATCGTGAAAAATGTTGAAGTCTTTCTTCGGTTCTCTAAGCAAATATGAAAGGCCCGCGAGATGAGCCGAACGAATGAGACCGCAAGAATGGAAAAGCACCCAGTGTCCGCAAAACTGATTAATTGCTTTATACTTTGGCGATTCACCTTCTTCAAATAGGCTCCGGCTTTAAGCCGGAGTCCTTCAGCAAACTGTGTGGTTGGGGCTATCAAAGCACCCACAAATAGGCGATCCGGAACATCTGTCACTTTAAACTTATCGGAAAACGTAGATATATGACCAGGGAGCAAGGCGCCGATGACAAAAGTGGTATGAGATATTTTTCAAAGCAAAATACATAGGATACTGCATGCAAGTGTACTCGCCATCATTTTTGAGGGCCACGGTAGTGTCACTTATCCCCATGCCTGGAAAGGTAGGTAAAATATAGAAAAACTTTGAGCACCGCATGCCTTTTACGCAAACATAAGCTTATTTCCCCAGGTCTTAGGAGAAAATGTGAGAAAATAAATACTCGACCGGTGCGGTGCAGAGACATTGAGATGCACATTCGAACAAATTGTAGTGACCAGACCCACGCGGAAGCTGTTCGGCCGCTACTTTTTTCCAGGCGAGTCACTTGCCATCGCGGGAAACATCATTCAAACTTTGAAAATATTAGCCCTGCTATGGTTGTTTCCTACGCCTCAAATAACCAAAAGTTTGGAGTCAGCTGTTTTTGTTGCCAGTTGCTTGTTTATTGGCACCAGCCAGGGCGGTTTCAAAAGTAAACATCAGGTTGACCCAAAGTTTATTTTCAGTAAAGATACCCTCTCAAGAATAGACGTAAAAGGCGTAAGATTGATAGTACGAAAACTTGTTGCTCAAAGCTGAAAATTCAAGATATTTCTCGGAATACTTAATAAGCGGACCACCTGCGAAACTTGCGATGTCCTCGATGTGGTTTCATGTTGGGCCCGGCCGATGGTAACAGCTGGCGTATTTAGAGGGTTAGCACGTCACTTTCAATGATTTACATAAGTGGCTTTCTAGGAAACCCAAGTTCTTGCACCAAAGTTCTCTTGCTGAAATAAGAGTGTCTGTTTGCCATTCGAAGTAGGATCACGGGCAAATTCAAGCACCGCGTAAGTGATTAGAGGCCATCCGTACAAGCCTGAAAAGCGATATTCGAATGCTTTTAAACGGATGAGCCTAGAAGCCTATGAATCACAAAGCATTCAGCGGGCGTTAGTCCGGTTTTGCTGTTCAGATCATGTCTCCTCTTTTGAAGACTACTAGTCATTTTACTGTTGTAAGATATTTAACTTTCATAAGGCGTTGACCTTAAACGGCGATCCTGTGAAAACTTGTAGGCTTATGGACAAGTGATATCGTGGACTGCTGAATGCGAACTACGATATTACTTCAACCAAAAAAGTAGAGTACTCTTGCTTCGAGACACAAGAAATCCTTAGTAGAGAGGTCAGTCTATGAAATATATTTGGAGCTAAAGGCTGGGCCAGCAGAATGGAAAAGCTCATGGAAGTACCTGCTGACTACAGTGAATTCAGTTAAAAGCCAGGCGAGCAGGTTTGAGAGTTCTGCCAGTTTTTTTGGTAATGTGTATGGTGACGAAACGTTTGCTAGCCAATTGCCAAGCTCGGGATCAGATCATGAGAGTTCTGCCAGTTTTTTTGGTAATGTGTATGGTGACGAAACGTTTGCTAGCCAATTGCCAAGCTCGGCGATCAGATCAACAGCCAACTGATCAACAACCAAGGTTTTTGTTTCCCTTTTCTTCCCTATCCTTCCTCTTAATTTCCTATCATTGATTACACAGTTCAACCGTATTTACTATCCAAGTTGATGTCAGTTATTCATCGATTCCTGTGCGACTCTGTTTAAAAGGTTGGACGGTAGGGTAATTCATTTATGCGCTGAAATATGTCTCATCCTGCAAGCGCACAAATGGCAGGCATTTGACAATTATGCAGCTTGAAAATATCTTCAAATCTAGCGTGTGCAGCGAACCGGGCGATGTATGGCTCCAAGGGTAGTCTCAAACCCGTCCTATGCCCACCTGTTCCACCTAACGCTGTAAAACCTACGTAGAAAAGTAGCGCTAGTCTCATAAAATGCTTCCGTTATCACTAGATTGTTATTCTGATTATGCCATAGATTCTAACGAGCGGATTCCTCGGGTAAAAACTATCTTGTGTGCGAACGAGATTCCGAGATCTATGGCAAAATAGCGTGCTTTGAATGCCATCATTTCAACTCAAGAACGAGGCTCGACGGGCTTCTGAAAACCTCATTGCTGTGCTGTCTTGGAGAACAACGGTTTTGCAGCACCTCTAGATTAAGGTCTTAGGTAATGTTAGCTAAGTCACTTTTAAGTCTGTTGCAGATTTTCGGAGACCGTCCCGAGCATGATTTTTTTCTGAGCTGTTCAAAATTAGTCTACTAACTCAGGCCGAATCAGGCCACGTGCTCCAAAGGTAGTGATGTTCTATTGAATTTGATAGAACTTCCCTGGTTGAAATGATGACACTTCGAAAATCAGCCGCAGGTTCATGCAATTTCCTACAACTTCTTGCGGGTTCAGACCGTAATTCACTTTCCCTAGGTTTAATATGTTAGGCCCAGACCCTAGGTCAAATTTAAGTTTCTGGCTGAAAGTGACTGAACTCATTTGACACAGCTTCACGGCTTTTGATGGATTTTCATGGGCACATCTGCTGGACAAATTTGGCTCCTCTTTTTGCAGCTGTGAAAAACATAGCTGAGACGTTGTTATCTTTGTCACATTGGCATAAGCCCTACCCAACTGGCGCAGCCCTTGGTTGTTCAACAGTATCTAAACTTCAGACCACTTTAAATATGCTCACTTATTCGGCTTCCGGCAGCGCTCGCGCTGTCACAGTCATGGTCATGGAAGATGAATGTGTGAATATGTAAGTAGCCCCAATTATGCGAAAATTTCGAGCATGTGAATCTGTTGTCCAAGAACGATGTCAATGCTAACGTGACTATACACAGCAAACCATTTGGAATCCACCAAATCCCAAGCTGGCCTTAACAAGCAATTACAATTCACCTTGGTTTATTTACCAGACCTTGGATACAGACACGGCGGATCAGGATTCATGAAGCTGACAGACCGGCAAAGCGTATTAAACATCTATTTCTGGCGGCGTGCATGGGTTTGTCTTGCCAAGCGTTCATATGCCGCATTATTATAAGATAGTGGTGAACGCTCTGCTAAATAATTCGTCCAAAAACGAGGCCAAAAGAGGGTGCGCGCTCTGAGGGCTTCCTTGTTCCCCTTTTGTCCGGAAGCTGTAGAATACGCATGACAGAATGCGCAGAGTGACAGATGCCTCGTGGCCGGTGGGAAGCTGACAGCAGTGGGCATAGATTATGGAATACTGTGAAAATCAGTATCGGGGGCCTGAATTTACCACGACAAGGCCTATTAGAAAAATCTTTGCTGGACAATAAAGGTCACAGAAGTGTACGCGCTAGCGCTGGTAGAACCACAGAAGAGGCAAAGTTCAAGCTACGTTAATCAGATGATATCACCTCCCATTTCCAGTGCTCTAAAACGGCAGTTTGATTAGCGCTGTTACTATCCAAGCTCCCTGGAACTTAAAAAATCTTCATGAGCTCAGCTGAGCCGCAGCCTTGCCAGCAATTTACGATGCGATTATTGTTTTATATGATACCACAGCGGCCGTACCGCTCCTCGAGTTATAACATCTCCCAACATCTGACCAGTCCCATGGTTCGTAATTCGCGTTTTGCACCCCGCTTATCTCCCAACAAGCTGACTGACCATTATCACGCTCCTTCGCATCATGGTGCGCGTTTTCAAGCCCGTGATTTAACAAATGGACTCCGTTTTGAGCAGACGTGTAGTGATTCCTCAAAAGGCCGGATGTTCCACACATCTGTGTTACCCCCGCGATGATGTGCTAGCATCGATTTCAGGATTGACCCGTCACACCAAGCAGTGGGCAGTTGTGCACAACAGGAGATGCCACATACCGTTTGTGGTGAGCTGCGCACGGAATCGCCTGACCAGAGGAAACCAAGCGGGAGGCCCAACAAGAAGGAGCAGTCCTAGGGCCAACACCATGCCTAGCTGGTCTCAATTATTGCCAATTTACATGAATCTTAGTGAAAATTCCAGCCATCAGTGCTCGCAAGAGGGTGTTAAATGGTTTGAACCACAGAAGGCTTTTTTCCAACTAGACTATCCTCCCTGAATGCCACGCATGCACGTCCCATTTGCAGTGTACCTATCAAACCTATGAGCAAAGCACTCGGTCCCCAAGGATTACCAACAACGTGACGACATCCATAGGCTACTTCCAAATCCGTCCGCGATTACATGAAAAGTTCTCTCATCTAGCGGCCCCACACTGAAATGTCTCCTGGATCCGAGGTTATTAACACCTTGCGCCACAGTTAAAGATGCGTTATCTTAGGGGACACGAGTGTTGTCGTGTAGTCTATAGGAAGCTGCCTCATGAACTTCAATTCACGGATGATACACTGCAATCTTAGTATGCTGGTCTTGGGCTTCATTCTAATTGCGTATCTGCTTACCGTAAGCCGTGAAACTGAAAGTGTATTTTAACACGCTGGATAGCCATTTAGAAGGACGGGCGCGGCAGCGACTAGGTTTGGTCTCTATGGCCGACGTCGATAAGCTGAATGTTGACGTTTTGATTACACGATTGTTGGAAGGTGGTTTGCACGATGTTTATAATGAAACTGATAATACAGTTAGAGGTTCCCGTCCTGGCAAGAACGTTCAGTTGACGGAGGCGGAAATTCGTGCGCTGGCCTTGAAATCTCGAGAGATATTTTTGCGGCAACCTATCTTGTTGGAACTCGAGGCCCCTTTAAAAATTTGCGGTGACATTCATGGTCAATATTACGATTTGTTGCGTCTGTTCGAATACGGGAGCTTCCCACCTGAGGCAAATTACTTGTTCCTGGGTGATTATGTAGACCGTGGGAAACAATCCCTGGAAACCATTTGTCTTCTCCTGGCGTATAAAATCAAATACCCAGAGAATTTCTTCCTTTTACGTGGCAATCATGAGTGCGCATCTATAAATCGAATTTATGGATTTTACGATGAGTGTAGGTCAAAGGTTGGGTTTGGTTATCGTTTCAGGCAAGCGACGATATAACATAAAACTATGGAAAACATTTACGGACTGCTTTAATTGTCTTCCAATAGTAGCCATCGTAGATGAGAAGATATTTTGCTGCCACGGTGGTAAGTAAGACTGGAGAAATTCATTTTCCAGGTCTATCGCCTGACCTTCAATCGATGGAACAAATACGCAGAATAATGAGACCAACCGATGTACCGGAGCAGGGATTGCTTTGCGATCTCTTGTGGTCCGATCCTGATAAAGATATTACTGGGTGGGGTGAGAACGATCGCGGTGTTAGCTTCACTTTCGGTGGGGACATTGTCACAAAATTTTTGCACAGCCATGATTTGGACCTTATTTGCCGTGCACACCAAGTGAGTTCCCTTCGTTCAGTTATTTATTTTCAAGGTTGTGGAAGATGGTTACGAGTTCTTCGCAAAGCGCCAGCTGGTTACGCTGTTCTCAGCTCCTAACTACTGCGGTGAATTTGACAATGCCGGTGCAATGATGTCAGTTGATGAGTCATTGACATGCTCGTTTCAAGTGAGTGCCTTACGTAGTATTCTGACCTCTTAGATCCTCAAACCAGCCGATAAAAAGAAATTTAATTTCGGTTCCCTAAACCCCGGATGGCCCGTCACTCCTCCAAGAAACACAAAACTTAAGGATAAATGAAGAGACCTGAGTGTGTGCAAATTGCTTTTCATAGCTTCATTCTGATTTTTGTCCGTGTTTATTGGCAAAATTGGTGAGTAGAGTGAACCAGCACGTAGTCAATGCAACACATGGGAGCTTCAGTTGTGCCAGTCAGATTCCAGATATCTGTTTTACTTTGACCACTACCAGGTATATTAGGGTGGTCAATACCGTGAATACTTAGTAATGTGCAAGGTTCACAGAGTATTTCTATCATGTTTTCAGTGATCCTTCATCCCTTTTGCTATGACACAACCAAACATGTACATACTGCATTCCAAACGCCATCAAATTTGTCCACATTTTCAAGCTTACCAAGAGCATTGGTACTTGGCATGCTTGCACATTATTGTCAATTATTCTGTGATGCTGTTTCCACTGTACATGGAGTCCATTCTGCGTAACCCGTATGTTAACGTGTACATTGCTTTCCGTATTTGCATTACTGATCTAGTCCTTTTGAGTTATTTACGAATACCGTATGTGATTCATTTTATGCATGCGAACGTTCTAGCGCGCATAGTCGAAACATCCATGGTAGGAGAAAAAAGACCGTAAACAGGTATATCGGTAGGCAGACCGTTCGTCGAAAGTGAGTTCTGTGAATGGGGTTTGAAAGTGAATCGCGCTGAAGTACCCGTACAGCCGATATTGTTGGGAAGAACACGGCGCCTACGATAGCTCGAAGGACTTAGCAAGGTATCACACAATTCAGGGTCATCATCATCGGAGCATGGCATCAGCGTTCAACACCGACGCTTCGCTGCCGTACCATCATGATTTAATTATAAAAGAAAAGAAAAGAGGTGGACGGAGAAGGGAATTAGTGCTGGCTTACCACAGTCATTCTGAGGTGCCTACACTTCCAAACACTCATTCAGGCAATCTGGATAGAAACTGACGACAAGATCACCACTGACATCGGTTTGCAGCCATATCTTGCAACATCATCATCATCATCAATGACAGCAGCATCAGTGTTGGCACTGATGCTTCACTGCCGTACAACCATAAAGTTCGTT